AGGGGAAAAGGGTGAGTGGTGTACTTAGGAGTCTGTGGAGACAAAGAACTTTGTCCTTGGAGGCAAAGAGGGGAATGTATGAGAGTATAGTTTTACCAACGCTCTTATATGGGTGTGAAGCATGGGTGATGAATGTTGCAGCGAGGAGAAGGCTGGAGGCAGTGGAGATGTCATGTCTGAGAGCTATGTGTGGTGTGAATATAATGCAGAGAATTCGTAGTTTGGAAGTTAGGAGGAGGTGCGGGATTGCCAAAACTGTTGTCCAGAGGGCTGAGGAAGGGTTGTTGAGGTGGTTCGGACATGTGGAGAGAATGGAGCGAAACAGAATAACTTCAAGAGTGTATCAGTCTGTAGTGGAAGGAAGGCGGGTAGGGGTCGGCCTAGGAAAGGTTGGAGGGAGGGGTAAAGGAGGTTTTGTGTGCGAGGGGCTTGGACTTCCAGCAGGCATGCGTGAGCGTGTTTGGTAGGAGTGAATGGAGACAAATGGTTTTAAATACTTGACGTGCTGTTGGAGTGTGAGCAAAGTAACATTTATGAAGGGGTTCAGGGAAACCGGCAGGCCGGACTTGAGTCCTGGAGATGGGAAGTACAGTGCCTGCACTCTGAAGGAGGGGTGTTAATGTTGCAGTTTAAAAACTGTAGTGTAAAGCACCCTTCTGGCAAGACAGTGATGGAGTAAATGATGGTGAAAGTTTTTCTTTTTCGGGCCACCCTGCCTTGGTGGGAATCGGCCAGTGTGATAATAAATAATAAAAATATATATACATACATATATATATATATATATATATATATATATATATATATATATATATATATATATAATATATATATATATATATATATATATATATATATTATATATATATATTCTTGAAGGCATCAGCTCATTTTATAGTTTCTCTAATATTTAATGAACTAAATAACAAATACTGAACACAAGAGTTCAGACACTTACTCAAAGAATGGGAACCTCTTCTTCAGTTCTAGTTTACCCTCTGGACTTTTGGGATCCTTAATCAGACACCACACCAGCTCCTGGGCCCAGGTGGTTCCTGGAATAGAGTACACAGGTGGTTATCATCAAATTACAGCTTCTCTGCCCACCTGGTTCCTGGAACTCAATATACCGATAGTTATCAGCAAGGTACAACTCCTGGGCCCAGGTGGTGCCTGGAACACAATATGCTGATGGTTATCATCAAGCTATAACTGATGGTTAACATGAAGATACGGCTCTTGGGCACAAATGGTTTCAGGAGCACAATACACTGATGGTTACCATCAAGTTACAGCTCCTGGGGTCAAGTGGTTCCTAAAATAATGTACAGTAGGGACCCCACTTATACGGCAGGTTAGGTTCCAGGCTACCGCCGCAAAGTGAACATTGTTGGAAACACAGCGCCATTTCTTTTACACTTATTTTTTTATTAACACACTGGCCGATTCCCACCAAGGCAGGGTGGCCCGAAAAAGAAAAACTTTCACCATCATTCACTCCATCACTGTCTTGCCAGAAGGGTGCTTTACACTACAGTTTTTAAACTGCAACATTAACACCCCTCCTTCAGAGTGCATGCACTGTACTTCCCATCTCCAGGACTCAAGTCCGGCCTGCCGGTTTCTCTGAACCCCTTCATAAATGTTACTTTGGTCACACTCCAACAGCACGTCAAGTATTTAAAACCATTTGTCTCCATTCACTCCTATCAAACACGCTCACGCATGCCGGCTGGATGTCCAAGCCCCTCGCACACAAAACCTCCTTTACCCCCTCCCTCCAACCTTTCCTAGGCCGACCCCTACCCCGCGTTCCTTCGGCTACAGATTGATACACTCTTGAAGTCATTCTGTTTCGCTCCATTCTCTCTACATGCCCGAACCACTTCAACAACCCTTCCTCAGCCCTCTGGACGACACTTTTGGTAATCCCGCACCTCCTCCTAACTTCCAAACTACGAATTCTCTGCATTATATTCACACCACACATTGCCCTCAGACATGACATCTCCACTGCCTCCAGCCTTCTCCTCGCTGCAACATTCATCACCCATGCTTCACACCCATATAAGAGCGTTGGTAAAACTATACTCTCATCCATTCCCCTCTTTGCCTCCACAGACTCCTAAGTGCACAGCTCACCCTTTTCCCCTAATCAGTTCCATGATTCACCTCATCTTTCATAGATCCATCTGCTGACACGTCCACTCCCAAATATCTGAATACATTCACCTCCTACATGCTCTCTCCCTCCAATCTGATATCTAATCTCTCATCACCTAATCTTTTTGTTATCCTCATACCCTTACTCTTTCCTGTATTCACTTTCAATTTTCTTCTTTTGCACACCCTACCAAATTCATCCACCAACCTCTGCAACTTCTCTTCAGAATCTCCCAAGAGCACAGTGTCATCAGCAAAGAGCAACTGTGACAACTTCCACTTTATGTGTGATTCTTTTTCTTTTAATTCCACACCTCTTGCCAAGTCCCTCGCATTTACTTCTCTTACAACCCCATCTATAAATATATTAAAACAACCACGGTGACATCACACATCCTTGTCTAAGGCCTACTTTTACTGGGAAATAATTTCTCTCTTTCCTACATACTCTAACTTGAGCCTCACTATCCTCGTAAAAACTCTTCACTGCTTTCAGTAACCTACCTCCTACACCATACACCTGCAACATCTGCCACATTGCCCCCCTATCCACCCCGTCATACGCCTTTTCCAAATCCATAAATGCCACAAAAACCTCTTTAGCCTTATCTAAATGCTGTTCACTTATATGTTTCACTGTAAACACCTGGTCCACACACCCCCTACCTTTCCTGAAGCCTCCTTGTTCATCTGCTGTCCTATTCTCCGTCCTACTTTTAATTCTTTCAATTATAACTCTACCATACACTTTACCAGGTACACTCAACAGACTTATCCCCGTATAATTTTTGCACTCTCTTTTGTCCCCTTTGCCTTTATACAAAGGAACTATGCATGCTGTCTGCCAATCCCTAGGTACCTTACTTATAAACGCATAATAATGCCATATAACAAGTTTACACTAACATATATTAGGCAACAGTAGAACTAGACATTATAAACAATAAAAGTTTAAATGCATACACAGTACACTACTACTTACCTTAAAATATTTGTAGTCTTAATGTAGGGTGAAAACTTAGTAGTATTTATTTGTAGGACGTCAGGTGTAGGTAGGTGGTAGGTGTAGGTAGGCGATAGGAGTAGGTATAAAGGAAGCCCCTCCCCCTTCACCAGCTACCTACACCTGCCCAAAGCAATATTATTACCATTGACATACTTCGTTCACTGACTTTAATCATTTCTAACAACTACCTTTAGATACCATCATAAATGAAGGGAGAAGTGATGCCAAGAATTGTAAACAAAGGTGAATGCGTTAATTAAGAGGAGTGACTTAGTTAAACACGTATTGATACACATTTTACACAAATAACCCGCACATAAAAGACAGAAGCTTACGACGACGTTTCGGTCCGACTTGGACCATTGACAAAGTCACACAGTGTGACTTTGTCAATGGTCCAAGTCGGACCGAAACGTCGTCGTAAGCTTCTGTCTTTTATGTGCGGGTTATTTGTGTATCGTTCCAGTCACGGTATTGTGCCTTTTTGTTATTTATTGATACACATTTCCTCTGGTGCTGCACCAGAGGAAACGGAATTTTTTTCCTCCACCCAGCTACCACACCTCATGTTTATGTGAATTTTTTGTACTGGGGGTATATAATAATAATATATTTATTTACTACAAGTACATGTGCAAGGTATAAAGACCATTGCAGATGAATGGTTCAGAGAACCGACACGTTGATAAATTAGACACATGTGCAACTCTTGGGTATCTTTATTGAGGAAACGTTTCGCCACACAGTGGCTTCATCAGTCCATACACAGGAGAAACTTGAAGAACAGGAGGAGAATGAGGTAATCAGTCCCTCAACCTTGAGTCAATGTGATCAGTCCATCAATCTTGAATAGAATACAGCATATGTGCGGAGAAGAGCTTATAAACCATAGGCAGGAGAGGTGCAGCAGTCGTAGGTGGTGTCACATTTGTTCAATGTGGAAGTAGGTCGTGCCCAAGGGTTAGGCAAGCGAAGAATTCCCAAGTATTAAGATCCAATTGGACAAATGTGACACCACCTACGACTGCTGCACCCCTCCCGCCCATGGTTTATAAGCTCCTTCTCCGCACATATGCTGTATTCTATTCAAGATTGATGGAATTACTTAGTTTCTATCGTTTGTCTTCTGATAACTGCCCAGTCTTTGACAACATGGCTGACAGTGAGTTCTGCTATATATCTAAACTCACAAGCTACACTGGGTGATGTACTCACCTGACTTAGGGTAAGTTACGACCCAGATGTCATCTTGGTAAACTGGGAAGTTATCATATTTGGAGTACCAGTCTGTGTAGAAAGAACGCATTATGACACGTTCTGGTCCCACTTTCACGAATCCTGAGAAGTAAATGGATAAGTCCTGAAGACGGTCCATATCAGTACCGGAGACAGGCACCATCCTCTCACTCCCGCTGGGGAAGACAGTGAAATATTCTTAATGTGTTTCTACGTTAACGATGGAAGAGTAAAAGTCACAATATATTTGCTGGAATAATACACAGCTAATCCACAAATTTGATAAGTTGGTCGTCGCTTCAAGTGGCTATTTGTGGTACCTAACAACTGTCTGGCAGAATTCAGTGGATGAACACAATTCAATGATAGAGAATTGATGAAAGTCTTGATAGATGCAACGATAAAATATGTGAAATTATATCACATCATGTGTAAGTTTTTTATAAGATAATGTAGTCTTATTTTTTGTTCACCTGACAAACTAAATGTTACTGTAAATCAGAATAAGACGAAGTTTAATTAAAACATGAAGCGAAAATATAACTACTGTTAAATAATTAAGTGGCAAATATATCACTTAAAGTACTGGATGTACGGAATGATCAGTATTATTTACTATTAAAATAATTATGGCAAAAATATCACTACAGTATTGGATGTAGTGATTAACTATAAAATGCAGTACATTTTAATTACGAATTTTGAACAAGACAATTTAATGCATCAGTGCCAGGCCAAAGCAAAGATTATAAAGTATTGATGGAGGGTTGTAGAGCTTAGGTGCAACAGTTGCTGATGTTGGGAGTTAGGTGGTGTGGGATCTATCTACGTATGGTGAAGTAGTGTATCTTTAGAAGGAAATAGCAGTTTAGTCTTTTAGCAGTTAGTAGAGTTACTGAATGTTGACACTGTAGAAACCATGTTAGTGACTAGTATAAATCTGTTAAGTTCTACGATCTTTCAACATTCTCTCCGCTGTAACTCACATAAAGTAACTTTTACCACTTATCGTTTTTTACTTCTCTCTTCTTATTTACCCTCAATTTTTTTGACTGTTCAGTCTTTTTTTTTTATATTTTTATTAAAAACCTTACAAAAGTACAGAGGATGCATAATAATAGTACAGGAATACAAAAACAGTCTTTTGCGCTACTAGTACCAGGTTATTCCTGGAGGTAACAAGTGTTATAACAACATCCTGTTATAGCAGACAATACACGTTGAGACAAACCTCACTAAAGTATAACAGTCATTAATAGGTGTCGCCACGCCATTGTAACCAAAGAAAACATACCTATATGCAACTTTACATGGTTTAACAATATAAAATGAGTACCTGTCATAACCTATTACAACAAAAACAACATATAAACGTACAACATCACAAGGTTACTAACGTTGAAATTGTCACACATAACTAAAATCATAACCACCTTTAACACACACAATATATGAACTACACATATCATGTCAGTTAAGTAAAAAGAACCTAACCTAAGCTACCATAACTATAAAACAAGACAAAACCCTAACATACCCGCTATGACAGGGTACATACCCGCTATGACAGGGTACATACCCGCTATGACAGGGTACATACCCGCTATGACAGGGTACATACCCGCTATGACAGGGTACATACCCGCTATGACAGGGTACATACCCGCTATGACAGGGTACATACCCCTATGACAGGGTACATACCCTGCGTACATACTTGACAGGGTACATACCCGCTATGACAGGGTACATACCCGCTATGACAGGGTACATACCCGCTATGACAGGGTACATACCCGCTATGACAGGGTACAGAGTATTGGTTAAGTTATGTTACATTATATCCTAACCAATAGGAATTCGGAAGGAACGTATGATTCCTTATGCACAATAACCATAGAGAAACAGTATTTTAATATTATTAATATGTTAAACCCTCAAGTACAATAATTCAGGTACAGAAAACAGAACAATACATGTAACATACAATAATAAAATAACCCAAAACAAGTTTTTGTGATGAATGGTTTGCAAAACCGACAAGTTGAAGATTGAGACACTTATGCAGCATATGGGAATCTTTATTCAGGAAACGTTTCGCCACACAGTGGCTTCATCAGTCCAATACAAAGAGGAAGGCGTAAGGAGAGGAGGAGTATGAGGTAATCAGTCCCTCAGCCTGGAGTCGATGTGTTCAGTCCATCAATCTTGTAGAATGTACAGCATAGGGCCGTAGACGTGGCTTATATACTGTAGTGAGGTGACGTGAAGCAGGCGGAGGCGGGGTCATAGTGGTACCATCCACTAGTCGAAGTAGGTCTTCGTCCAAAGGTTGAACAAGTGTTGAAGAATTCTTTGTAACAATATCCCATGATGCTGCAGGCCTCCGCCTGCTTCACCTCACCTCACTACAGTATATAAGCCACGTCTACGGCCCTATGCTGTACATTCTACAAGATTGATAGACTGAACACATCTACTCCAGGATAAGGGACTGATTACCTCATACTCCTCCTCTCCTTACGCCTTCCTCTTTGTATTGGACTGACGAAGCCACTGTGTGGCGAAACGTTTCCTGAATAAAGATTCCCATATGCTGCATAAGTGTCTCAATCTGCTTGGACTTCCAGCAGGTATGCGTGAGCGTGTTTGATAGGAGTGAATGGAGACAAATGGTTTTTAATACTTGATGTGCTGTTGGAGTGTGAGCAAAGTAACATTTATGAAGGGGTTCAGAGAAACCGGCAGGCCGGACTTGAGTCCTGGAGATGGGAAGTACAGTGCCTGCACTCTGAAGGAGGGGTGTTAATGTTGCAGTTTAAAAACTGTAGTGTAAAGCACCCTTCTGGCAAGACAGTGATGGAGTGAATGATGGTGAAAGTTTTTCTTTTTCGGGCCACCCTGCCTTGGTGGGAATCGGCCAGTGTGATAATAATAATAATAATAATAATAGGTAGTAGGTTGGTAGACAGCAACCACCCAGGGAAGTACTACCGTCCTGCCAGATGACTGTGAAACAGAAACCTGTAACTGTTTTGCATGATGTTAGGATTGCTGGTTTCTTTTTCTGTCTCATAAACACGCTAGATAACAGGGATATCTTGCTACTCCTACTTACACTTTGGTCACACTTCACAGACACGCACATGCATATATATATACATACATCTAGGTTTTCTCCTTTTTCTAAATAGCTCTTGTTCCTCTTTATTTCTTCTATTGTCCATGGGGAAGTGGAAAAGAATCTTTCCTCCGTAAGCCATGCGTGTCGTATGAGGCGACTAAAATGCCGGGAGCAATGGGCTAGTAACCCCTTCTCCTGTAGACATTTACTAAAAAAGAGAAGAAGAAAAACTTTATAAAACTGGGATGCTTAAATGTGCGTGGATGTAGTGCGGATGACAAGAAACAGATGATTGCTGATGTTATGAAATGAAAAGAAGTTGGATGTCCTGGCCCTAAGCGAAACAAAGCTGAAGGGGTAGGGGAGTTTCGGTGGGGGAAATAAATGGGATTAAATCTGGAGTAACTGAGAGAGTTAGAGCAAAGGAAGGGGTAGCAGTAATGTTGAATGATCAGTTATGGAAGGAGAAAAGAGAATATGAATGTGTAAATGCAAGAATTATGTGGATTAAAGTAAAGGTTGGATGCGAGAAGTGGGTCATAATAAGCGTGTATGCACCTGGAGAAGAGAAGAATGCAGAGGAGAGAGAGAGATTTGGGAGATGTTAAGTGAATGTATAGGAGCCTTTGAACCAAGTGAGAGAGTAATTGTGGTAGGGGACCTGAATGCTAAAGTAGGAGAAACTTTTAGAGAGGGTGTGGTAGGTAAGTTTGGGGGTGCCAGGTGTAAATGATAATGGGAGCCCTTTGATTGAACTTTGTATAGAAAGGGGTTTAGTTATAGGTAATACATATTTTAAGAAAAAGAGGATAAATAAAGTATACAAGATATGATGTAGGGCAAAATGAAAGTAGTTTGTTGGATTATGTATTGGTAGATAAAAGACTGTTGAGTAGACTTCAGGATGTACATGTTTATAGAGGGGCCACAGATATATCAGATCACTTTCTAGTTGTAGCTACACTGAGAGTAAAAGGTAGATGGGATACAAGGAGAATAGAAGCATCAGGGAAGAGAGAGGTGAAGGTTTATAAACTAAAAGAGGAGGCAGTTAGGGTAAGATATAAACAGCTATTGGAGGATAGATGGGCTAATGAGAGCATAGGCAATGGGGTCGAAGAGGTATTAGTGTTAGAGTGTTCAGCAGAAGTTTGTGGTTACAGGAAAGTGTGTGCGGGAGGGAAGAGGAGCGATTGGTGCAATGATGATGTGAAGAGAGTAAGTAAGGGAGAAAAAGTTAGCATATGAGAAGTTTTTACAAAGTAGAAGTGATGCAAGGAGGGAAGAGTATATGGAGAAAAAGAGAGAGGTTAAGAGAGTGGTGAAGCAATGTAAAAAGAGAGCAAATGAGAGAGTGGGTGAGATGTTATCAACAAATTTTGTTGAAAATAAGAAAAAGTTTTGGAGTAAGATTAACAAGTTAAGAAAACCTAGAGAACAAATGGATTTGTCAGTTAAAAATAGGAGAGGAGAGTTTTTTAAATGGAGAGTTAGAGGTATTGGGAAGATGGAGGGAATATTTTGAGGAATTGTTAAATGTTGATGAAGATAGGGAAGCTGTGATTTCGTGTATAGGGCAAGGAGGAACAACATCTTGTAAAGGGGTGAGGAAGAGCCAGTTGTGAGTGTGGGGGAAGTTCGTGAGGCAGTAGGGAAAATGAAAGGGGGTAAGGCAGCCGGGATTGATGGGATAAAGATAGAAATGTTAAAAGCAGGTGGAGATATAGTTTTGGAGTGGTTGGTGCAATTATTTAAAAATGAGGGAAAGAGGGAAAGGTACCTGGGGATTGGCAGAGAGATGCATATTTCCTTTGTAAAAGGCAAAGGGATAAAAAGATGAAAAAATTTTATAGGGGATAAGTCTTTTTGATAACCTGGCAAAGTGAGGGTAGAGTTATTTTTTGAAAGAATTAAATAAGACGGAGAAAAAGGAACAGATGAAAAAGGGCTTTAGGAAAGGTAGGGGGTGTGGGACCCGGTGTTTACAGTGAAACACATAATGAACAGTATTTTGAAAGGGTAAAAAGGGCTTTTTGGCATTTAGGATTTGGGGAAGGGGTATACAGTGTGGGGTGGGGGGGAATTGGGGATGTTCAAGGATGGGGTAGGGTAGGTTCTGAAAGCAGTGAAGAGTTTTTTACGAGGATAGTGGGGTCAAGTTAGAGTATTAGGAAAGAGGGGAAAATTTTTTCCCAGAAAAGTAGGCCTTAACAAGGTGTGTGATGTCACCGTGGTTGTTTTAAAAAATTTTTAGATGGGTTGTAAAGAAGTAAATGCGAGGGTCTGGCAAGAGGCTGGAGTTTTAAAAAAAAGAATCACACCTAAAGGGGGATTGTCACAGTTGCCTTTTCTGATGACACTGGCTCTTGGGAGATTCGAAGAGAATTGCAGAGATTGGGGGATGAAATTTGGGAGGGGGTGAAAAGAAGAAAAGAAATAAACAGAAAGAGTAAGGTTAAGGTAACAAAAAGTTTTTGGTGATGAAAGATTGTATATCAGATTGGGGGGAGAGAGTATGGGGGAGGTGAAAAATATTCAGATATTTGGGAGTGGACGTGTCAGCGGATGGGTCTATGAAAGATGAGGTGAATCATAGAATTGATGAGGGGAAAAGGGTGAGTGGTGCACTTAGGAGTCTGTGGAGACAAAGAACTTTGTCCTTGGAGGCAAAGAGGTTAATGTATGAGAGTATAGTTTTACCAACGCTCTTATATGGGTGTGAAGCATGGGTGATGAATGTTGCAGCGAGGAGAAGGCTGGAGGCAGTGGATATGTCATGTCTGAGAGCAATGTGTGGTGTGAATATAATGCAGAGAATTCGTAGTTTGCAAGTTAGGAGGAGGTGCGGGATTACCAAAACTGTTGTCCAGAGGGCTGAGGAAGGGTTGTTGAGGTGGTTCGGACATGTGGAGAGAATGAAGCGAAACAGAATAACTTCAAGAGTGTATCAGTCTGTAGTGGAAGGAAGGCGGGGTAGGGGTCGGCCTAGGAAAGGTTGGAGGGAGGGGGTAAAGGAGGTTTTGTGTGCGAGGGGTTTGGACTTCCAGCAGGCATGCGTGAGCGTGTTTGATAGGAGTGAATGGAGACAAATGTTTTTTAATACTTGACGTGCTGTTGGAGTGTGAGCAAAGTAACATTTATGAAGGGGTTCAGGGAAACCTGCAGGCCGGACTTGAGTCCTGGAGATGGAAAGTACAGTGCCTGCACTCTGAAGGAGGGGTGTTAATGTTGCAGTTTAAAAACTGTAGTGTAAAGCACCCTTCTGGCAAGACAGTGATGGAAGTGAATGATGGTGAAAGTTTTTCTTTTTCGGGCCACCCTGCTTGATGGGAATCGGCCAGTGTGATAATAAAATTATATATATATATATATTATATATATATATATATATATATATATATATATATATATATATATATATATATAATATATAATATATATATATATATATAACGTTTTTAATCTTTACTTCTTATTATTAAGAACAAACAAGTTACAGATGAATATATCATGTAACAGTTATATGATACATACCTGTCAGTAGCTGTCTTGTCGTCCATTTAAGCTTTGATGTGTTTAAAGTTATTTGTGGCTTCGATAGTGGTCGTTACTTTGTGTATGTGGTAGTGGTTTTGTAAGTGTGATGGATGTGGTTTTGTGTATGTGGTAGTGGTTTTGTAAGTGTGATGGATGTGGTTGGTTTTGTGTGCGATGGTAGTTTTGTAAGTGGTTCTTGTTTATAAATGTTGTGATGGTGTGAGTGATGGTGAGTATGTTGGTATCTCAGTGGTCGTTGCTCGGTAGGTGTGGCAGTGGTGGTAGTTTGACAGTTGAAACTGTGTTTTAGCAGGTTTAATGGGTGGTGGTTATGATGGTGTGGTTATTATACAGGTGTTGTGGTGGTGGCTCTGGAACTGTGGTGGTGGTAGCGTATCTACAAATGTGGTGACGGTGATGGTGGTACTGCAGCTGTGGTGGCAGTGGCTGCTGCGCGAGACACAGGTATCGCTCAGACCTGGGTGATGAAGCAAGAGCAGGTATGTGGAAGGAGTGTTAGCACAAGTGTCAGCAGCAGCAATGTGGGAGCAGGGAAGTATCAACAGTAACCAGGTGGTGTTGGGAAATGTCAACAGCAGCAGTGACGTGGAGAAGCCGTGTCAAACATCAGCAATAACACCCACACACGACAACTGTTACCCTCACACTGAGAGAGTGGAGGAAGGAGGATGTAGACGGGAGAGGGAGGGTTGAGGGATTGTGTAAGAGTAAGGGGTAGAAACACTGGGGAGGAAAGAGAAATCATTAGAAAAGTAGGAATGTCTTCTAAATAAATGGATGAAAACATTTAAGGAATATTTAACAAAAGGGTTGATAGAGAAGAAATGTAACATCACTGGAACCTTAATACTTGCCAACACTCCTTCATTATTCATCAAAAGTGTTGTCAGTTGCTGCTGAAAAATCTTTGGTAAATTCGACGCAATATGACGTGATATTGAATAAAAACTTCATTTTAATTTATTAGTAGCTTTACGGTATATTGTAAAAGTTCATTTGCAATCCTGATATAAATTAAAAATTAATTTTACCCTAATTTAAATATTAAATGATCAAGTTTTGTTATAAATTATTCACTTTTCAATAGAATACAGTGAAGTTGAAATATGACTATGGCAATAAAAACACTTGGTTTTTAACAACACATTTTCAACTCATGAAAAGAAAATGAGATAAAAATTAATAATAACAGGAATAATCAGTCTTAGAAAAGGTAAGCAAAGAAGGGAGTATATGGGAGTATGGTTATCCCAAGGCTGATGTATAGGTGTGAAGCATGGGTGGTGAATGTTGCAACAAGGAGAAGGCTGGAGGCAGTAAAGATGTTATGTCTGAGGGCAATGTGTGGTGTGAATATAATGCAAAAAATTCATTATCCAGAGAGTTGAGAATGAATTGTTGAGGTGGTTGGGACATTTAGAGATGGTGGAAAGAAATATAATGACTTGAAGAGCGTGTAAATCTGTAGTGGATGGAAGGTGGAGTAGGAGTCGGTCCATTAAAGGTTTGAGGGAGGGGAGTAAAGGAAGTTTTGTGTGTGAGGGGCTTGGACTTCATCAGGGGTATGTGAGGTAGGAGTGAGTGGGGACAAACTGTTTTTTTTTTTTTTTTTGACCTGACATGCTGTTGGAGTGTGAGCAAAAAAACATTTACGAAGGGATTCAGAGAAACCGGCAGACTGGACTTGAGTCCTGGAGATGCGAAGTACACTGTCTGCACTCTGAAGGAGGGGTGTTGATATTGCACTTTTATAACTCTAGTGTAAGTGCACCTTTGGGAAGACAGCAATGGAGTGAAGGATGATGAAAGTGTTTCTACTTTTTTGGTTCACCCTGCTTGAGTGGGAAACGGCCAATATGTTAATAAAAAAAATCTGTGGTCCCTCTATACACACGCACATCCTGAAGTCTACCATCAGTCTTTTATCTACCAATACATAGTCGGACAAACTAATGTCATTAGGGTCTATATCACATCTCGCACACTTATTAATCCTTTATTTTTTCTTAAAGTATTTATTACCTATTATCAAACCCTTTTCTGTACAAAGTTCAATCAAAGGCCCCTCATTATCATATACACCTGGCACCCCAAACTTACCACACCCTCTCTAACCGTTTCTCCAACTTTATCGTTTAGGATCCCCACTAATATTACTGTCTCATTTGGTTCGAGAGTTCCTAAGCACTCGCTAAATATCTCTGAAAATCTCTTTCCCCTACACTCCTCTCATCTTGAGGTGCATGCACACTTATTATGACCCACTTCTCGCATCCAACTCTTATTTTAATCCCCATAATCCTTGAATTTATATATTTATATTCCCTGTTCTCCTTCCTTAACTGATCCTTCAACATTATTGCTACCCATTACGTAGCTCTAACTCTTTCAGATACTCTTGACCTAATCCCATTTATTTCTCCTTAACAGAAACTCCCCTACTTCCTTCCTCTTTGTTTCACTTACAGCTATGGCATCCAACATCTTTTCATTAATAACACTGGCATTTATCTTTTTCTTATCATTTGCATTACATCTTTGCCCATTCAGAGATCCCAGCTTTATAAAGTTTATCTCATTTTTAGCAATTTATACAGGAAATTAGGTTACCAGATCATTACTCCTGGCATTTTAGTGGCTTATGTCACGCATGGTTTACGGAGCAAAGATTCTTTCCCATGGAGATGAAAGGAAATAGATAACAAGAACTTTATAGAAAATAGAAAAAAAATTCTGATTAGTGGATATACATATACATGTATATGCAGTGTGTCTAAGTGAAAGTAGAAGTAGCAAAATGTACCTGTTTTCTTGCCATATATATATAATATATATATATATATATATATATATTATATATATATATATATATATATATAAAATATATATATATATATATATAATATATATATATATATATATATAATATATATATATATATATATAAAATATATATATATATATATATATACATATATATATATATATATATATATATATATATATATATATATATATATAATATATATATATATAAAATATATATATATATATATATATATATATATATATATATATATATGTCGTGCCGAACAGGCAGAACTTGCCATCTTGGCTTAAATAGCAACGCTGATCTTGCCAAATAGGACAAGTGAAAATTTGTGTATGCAATAATTTCGCCAAAATCATTCTGAATCTAACGAAAAAATTATATTTCACTGTGTTTGTTTAGTATTAAATTACTGTAAACAAATCTAAAATATATTTAGTTGGGTTAGGCCAAAATAAATTGCTCTTGTTATTATAAGGTTAGGTAAGTTTTCTAAGATTCTTTTGGTGCAAAATAAAAATTTTTTACATTAACATTAATGAAAAAAATCTATCTCTAAACTTATAAGAAAAAAAATTCAGAAAGGAGTTAATTTTAAATCAGTTCTAGCTAATTGACCAGTTTTACATATTCGGCACGACATTATATATATATATATATATATATATATATATTATATATATATATATATATATATATATATATATTTATATATATATATATATACATATATATATATATATATATATTATATATATATATATATATATATATATATATATATATATATATATATATATATATATAAACCGCTGTCTCTAGAAGCGGTACAAGGTTCGTTGGGTCGAGTCCTGGCTTGCCACAGTTTGGTAAATGATTTAAAATCACTTGTTTCGTGATTCCATTGATTATATATATATATATAATATATATATATATATATATATATATATATATATATATATTTTATATATATATATATATATATATATACATTTATATAATATATATATATATATATATAATATATATATATATATATATATATATATATATATATATATATATATATTTTATCACACTGGCCGATTCCCACCAAGGCAGGGTGGCCCGATAAAGAAAAACTTTCACCATCATTCACTCCATCACGTCTTGCCAGAAGGGTGCTTTACACTTCAGTTTTAAACTGCGACATTAACACCCCTCCTTCAGAGTGCAGGCACTGTACTTCCTCTCCAGGACTCAAGCCCGGGCCCCTGCCGGTTTCCCTGACCCCTTCATAAATGTTACTTTGCTCACACTCCAACAGCACGTCAAGTATTAAAAAACCATTTGTCTCCTTTTAAATCCTATCAAACACGCTCACGCATGCCTGCTGGAAGTCCAAGCCCCTCGCACACAAAACCTCCTTTACCCCTCCCTCCAACTTTCCTAGGCCGACCCCTACCCCTTTCTTCCTTCCACTTCAGACTGATACACTCTTGAAGTTATTCTGTTTCGCTCCTTTCTCTCTACTTTGTCCGAACCACCTCAAAAACCCCTTCCTCAGCCCTCTGGACAACAGTTTTGGTAATCTCGCACCTCCTCCTAACTTCCAACTACGAATTCTCTGAATTATATTCCCACCACACATTGCTTCAGACATGACATCTCCACTGCCTCCAGCCTTCTCCTCGCTGCAACATTCATCACCCATGCTTCACACCCATATAAGAGCTTTGGGGTAAAACTATACTCTCATACATTCTCTTTTTTGCCTCCAAGGACAAAGTTCTTGTCTCCACAGACTCCTAAGTGCACCACTCACCCTTTTCCCTCATCAATTCTATGATTCACCTCATCTTTCATAGACCCACCCGCTGACACGTCCACCCCCAAATATCTGAATACATTCACCTCCTCCATACTCTCTCCCTCCAATCTGATATCCAATCTTTCATCACCTAATCTTTTTGTTATCTCATAACCTTACTCTTTCCTGTATTCACTTTCAATTTTCTTCTTTTGCACACCCTCCCAAATTCATCCACCATCTCTGAAAACTTCTCTTCAGAATCTCCCAAGAGCACAGTGTCATCAGGAAAGAGCAACTGTGACAACTCCCACTTTATGTGTGATTCTTTATCTTTTAACTCCACACCTCTTGCCAAGACTCTCGCATTTACTTCTCTTACAATCCATCTATAAATATATTAAACAACCACGGTGACATCACACATCCTTGTCTAAGGCCTACTTTTACTGGGAAATAATTTCCCTCTTTCCTACATACTCTAACTTGAACCTCACTATCCTCGCAAAAACTCTTCACTGCTTTCAGTAACCTACCTCCTACACCATACACTTGCAACATCTGCCACATTGCCCCCCTATCCACCCTGTCACACGCCTTTTCCAAATCCATAAATGGCACAAAGACCTCTTTAGCCTTATCTTAAAACTGTTCACTTATATATTTCACTGTAAACACCTGGTGCACACACCCGCTACCTTTCCTAAAGCCTCCTTGTTGTTAGGTAAGACACCAACTTACCTCTTAATTTGTAATATTTTACATTTAAGAATAAAACTAAGTATGCCCGAAATGCCTAGCCATGCTAAGCGTTCTAGTGGTACACTCTGTAATCTCAATTTTACTACATGTAAACCAAACAATAACCAAATTTCTGTAAACTCAGCATTGTAATCCTTATAGAGAATAAACTTTGAATTTGAATTTGAACATATGCAACAGTTAGGTATCTTTATTATGAAACGTTTCGCCTACACAGTAGGCTTCTTCAGTCGAGTACAGAAAAGTTGATAGAAGCAGAAGATACTTGAAGA